AGATATGAAAGTATGAATGGGTTTAGATGGATGTAAAACTTATCTTTGTATTATCATCTAAGATATTTTTCATTGTACTTGATCTCATTGCCTGCTTATAATTTACATAGTCTTGACATAGAAGATCATGAAATGAGCAATTCGTGCTGATAACATATTATAAAATAAAAGCAACTTAGTAAAACATGAACAAGACATGTTGTTATGAAATAAAAGCAATTTAGTAAAATATGAACAAGAAATGGAGATAGAGAGAAAGAAGAGATTTTCTTCTTCAATTTTGTATATTTCCCTATCTATTACAAGGCCTTTATATAGGCATGAACAGTGAAGAAAAATATATCATTGAATATGTCATTAAGCATAGAAATATGTCATTGAATATGTCATTAAGCATTTGAGAAGATCATGGAGGAAGAGTAGACATCCATCATAATTTAATTTTTCTTAAAACACTAATAAAATAGTTTTAAAATAGGATCTCCTAATATAATTTCTGAATATGTAAAGTTATACTCATAAAAAAATACTTATATTTCATAGTTTGACTTGACACAGAGTTCATAAAAAAATAAGAGATTTTTAAAAATTATATTTTTGAATATGTCATAACATGTAAAAATTGCACGGGGAGTCATATTTGGCCGCTCACATTTAACCTATATCCACTTTTTAATTTTTTTTTAACTTGTACCCTCTGTTTAAACAACTTCATGCCTTTTTTTCCTCTTTTTTCTTCTTCTTCGGGTAACAGTAATTTTATATGGTGTTTGTGAACATATTTTAAGGCAGTTTATGATATTTTATAATGGTGGGCTGTTGTGGCGCCTTATTTTTTACTATTGCTTAGGGTTTCTTCTTTTTCTTTTTCTTAATTACAAAATTAGTTAGCTAGATTTATTGTTTTTCTGGATTGCTAAAATTCGAAAAATAAATTCATGTTTCTGGACAATTAGTACTTCAAGCCTATTTGGCCTTAAGTGCATGAAAACGTTGATTGCACTTCAGACTTTTTGGCCTAAGTGCATCTGAATTGCAAATTTTCACTTTAGACTTATTGGCCTTTAAGTGTAGGAAAACGTTTGTTGCACTTTAGACTTTTGGCCTTAAGTGCATCTGAAAGTGTAATTTTTCACTTCAGACTTATTGGCCTTAAGTGCATGAAACCATTGGTTGCACTTCAGACCTATTTGGCCTTAAGTGCATCAGAAGTGCAATTTTTTACTTCGGACTTATTGGTCTTAAGTGCAGGAAAACGTTTATTGTACTTCAGACCTTTTGGCCTTAAGTGCATCTGAAGTGCAATTTTTTACTCCAAACTTATTGGCCTTAAGTGCATGAAACCATTGGTTGCCCTTCAAACATATTTGTCCTTAAGTGCGTCTGAAGTGCTATTCTTCACTTCAGACTTATTGGCCTTAAGTGTATGAAACCATTGGTTGCACTTCAGACCTATTTGTCCTTAAGTGCGAAGTGCAATTTTTCACTTCAAACTAATTTTTTTAACTTCAGACTCGATAAGTCTGAAGTTGATCGTAAAGTAGGTAGACTTACAAAATTTTTTGCAAAGTGGGTATATGTTCAACTTTGACCCCAAAACCGGGTATAGATGCAAAAGTCCCTCATAATATTTGTGTAGTTATAAGGCTTTGGATATTTATGGTCTTAATCATTCCATAATATTTTGTGTGGTTATAAAAGCTTTTTATTAAGGGTAACAAAAGAAGTTTAAGCTAAATTATTTTCAAATGACACTTTGGGAGCACTTTTTATAGCTCCTACCTCGCACAAATGATATTTTTTTTATATTTATAAGTAATTTAACTTTAATTTTTTATTTTATCATTAATGAGCTAATTTATAGTCGTACAAATATTTTAAACCATAAATTTTCAAATTCTTTTTTTTCTTAAATTTCGTACCCAGTCAAAGTGCATCATATAAATTAGGCCGGAAGAAATACTTATTTTAGAAAGTTGTGGTGTTTGATTATAGCTTTTAGTATAAATATAAGTACTTTTAAATAATAGCATAAAGTGAAGAAAGTATTTTTTGTCCAAAAGCACTTTTAAAACCTTGATCATGCAAAAATTATTGTTCTAATATGAATAAAAATATTTTTTAAATTGATTAACTAAACAAAAATAATTTTCAAATTAATTATTTTGAAAGCTTGACCATCAAAGGTGTTGCAAAAATGACGCCCACCGTGGGGCTCGAACCCAGTCAAAGTGCATCATATAAATTAGGCTGGAAGAAATACTTATTTTAGAAAGTTGTGGTGTTTGATTATAGCTTTTAGTATAAATATAAGTACTTTTAAATAATAGCATAAAGTGAAGAAAGTATTTTTTGTCCAAAAGCACTTTTAAAACCTTGATCATACAAAAATTATTGTTCTAATATGAATAAAAATATTTTTTAAATTGATTAACTAAACAAAAATAATTTTCAAATTAATTATTTTGAAAGCTTGACCATCAAAGGTGTTGCAAAAATGACGCCCATCGTGGGGCTCGAACCCACAACCACAAGGTTAAGAGCCTTGCGCTCTACCAACTGAGCTAGACGGGCTTTTGTTTAAAAATCTTTAGTTGCATTTATTTAATACGTAAATGGTAATTATTTGTTAATAGTGTGGATGATGTTTAAAATGGTCGGCATTTCCTTTGAAATTCCCTTAAGTATCAATATACTCCTCTCTTAATTCAATTTTCGTCTTAAAAGTTAGATATTGTGCAAGATATTTACTTCTAATAATTCAAACTAATAGTACTATGTATCAATGTTGATGTTTATTATATTAAATTTGGTATAGCATATACTTACTTACCTTTTTCAAATTTTAATATTTCTTACTAATCTGAATAGTAGAACATTTTATATCATAAAAATAGTATATTTGTGATCCTTTTTCACCGCTAATCAAAGGTCTCGATAATGAAGAACTTGATAGAGTTTTATCCTTGCTTTTAGTAGGCCTATCTACTGCGAATATGAATTAGTTGTTTAGATGAATTTTGAGTTTTTTTTGAGTATCCACCGAATAAAGCAAAAAATAAAAAATTATAGTCATGGGCCTTGTGCTAATATTTGTTTTATCCTGCCTTTGTGGTTCTATTTTCGTGTTATTGTTCCCTTTTCATGGTTTATACAGTATTATTTTTATTTTTGAAAAATAATGTTACTATGCTTCTCTTGATGTGACTATGCTTCTCTTGAGTCGAGGGTTTATCGGAAACATCTTCTAGATGTACCTTCACAAGGTAGGCGTCAGACTTCGTACATACTACCTTCTCCAGACCCCACTTGTAGAATTACATCATGTTTGTTGTTGTTGTTGTTGTTGGGCATTGTACTAATACCATTGTTTACCCTTAAAACGGATAACAATTAAATTTGTACACGGTTTTAAGGATATGTGGATTGATTCAACATAAGTAATCAAGAATGTTAGGTAAACGAATTAAAGATAAAATAAATAACCAAACCAGTTGTGACGTTGAGTTCGGGCTCGGATTTAAACTGAACAATAGTTTTGCCCTCGACTGGATCCTCAATTCAAAGCCAAATGTGTATTAAGAACTATGATTAAAATAAGAACCTTTTATTAATAGCTATAAAGCAGAGAAATAAGTTTGTGTTGCCTTGATACGCATGTTACAAATAAAAAACTTCCCCTTTATATAGTATGAGAGTTTTACCCCTAGTACAATTCTAAAAAAGGTAAAAATCGTTCTTATACGTTAATCACTTACACACTACCAATATCGGACGAGATCCGCACCGTAATATCCGATTGGGTGCGAATATCACCGCCCTCTGTTAGTCGTGTGCAACCGGTTGTAGTGCTTTCCGAGGTCTTGGAGCTCGTTCCGGGTTCAGGGGTGTTGTCTTGTCATACCCGGTGGCGAGCACCCCGTTCCAGCCTCGATTCAAAGAGTTCTCGCATTCGGTCTCTTTCTCATACATTAATGCTTCTTACTTCGTTTGACTCACCGAAAACTCGGGGTGTGCGCTAACCCAGAGTTGACCCGTATACAACCATCTTTCTCGAGTTAATTTAGCTTGTCTTGTCGATTTCAAGCAATGTTCCAGGAACATGAATCTCGGTTTTCTCTTCTTTGTCCTTGTTCTTCCCCTATGCAGTAAAAATAATGTACCAAAAAAAAAAAGGAAAAAAATTACTGATACATTAACCATTTTTCACGCAACCACGCTAAACATCTCAAACAACTGCCTCTACCACGAAGCAACCACCTTAAAAGTCCCAAAATTAATTCCTTTACTACGAAGCAATTTATGAACTTCCATTCTTTGACTTCCATCATTCCTTTCTCTTTCTATATGTTCATACATCCAATCGCACAGAAAGGTTCAACCACGGGTTTGCAGGTTCGACAAAACTCAGTATTTCGAGTTTGAAGATTTATATATGTACGAAAAACAATTATTATAACGTTAGATATATATTTCAGAATTCATTCTCTCAATTCAAAACTCACAACGTCTAAATTCTAATATCATCTGTTGATTATATGTCGGAAAGACATCTCGGACGAAGAATTCCAATGTGCGAGAGAGCTAGTAGTAGCAGTGTACAAAAACCGTCATTTCCCACGCGACGAACATCAAAGCAGCATAGGAAGAGAAAAACTATAGAAAGATGTAAATCTGAGCCTTGTCTTTGGAGGGTTAATGGAGTTGGTGATAATGAAGATGATCGTCGAGATGTGACGACGTCGTTGGAGGTTCTTTTGCGGCCACAAACTTGTTCAAATATATTTTTTTCGCCGGATTATTTGAATAATGTTTCATCTCCGCAAGGTTCTAGGGTAATTTTTTTGTTTGAGATTGAGGCGTTAATGTTGTTATTGTATATGAAGCCCTTTTTTTTAAAGTATCTCAAGGGTCTTTTTAGTTGTTCGCTATTTACACAACACTACGAATTTTTTTGTGTTAACCAAATACTAGAAAATGATATAAAGATGGTAGTCACAGCAGATCTCTATAGGAATGGTAATGATAGTTGCCATTTATACACAGAGAAGAATTTTTTTTAAAATTGTAGTAAAACTTACTTTTCAAGACTGAAGTAAGAAGAGTATAATTTAATTGATGACAGTTTCGGGCAGTAAACTTTCATTCTGTAAGGATTAGCGAAACCTGAAATTTTTTCAAGGGTGTTTAAACTTAAAAGAAGTAAAAAAATCTCCAACAAAAGGTATTCAACATATGTTATATACCTTTAAAATCAGTATGTTATATACTACCCTTATTAGAATGTAGCTTCGCCCCTGGTGGGGGCAAGGGCCGGACATTATCTTAGTATGCAACCTTATCTTATAATTTTGCAAAAGACTATTTCTACGACTTTGTAGTTTGTGCACATACTGAGCTACTCCTAAATTCAATGAAATTTTTGTTGCAGGGGTACAATAAAGATGCAAAAGTTGTGGTTAATGTCACAGTTGAGGGCACTCCTGGACCAATTCGAACCATGGTCAAGTTAGGGTCCAGTGTCGACGAGACCATAAGATTTGTGCTAAGCAAATATAGAGAAGAAGGCCGCAGTCCTCATCTTGATAAAAGTTCGCCTTCATCATTCAAATTATACTCTTCTTACTTCAGTCTTGAGAGTAAGTTCTAACAAAATTTTAACTTTTTTTCTTCTCTATGTATAAATGGCAATTATCATTACCATTTCCAATAAAAAATCTGTTGTGATGAGGGGCGGATCCAGAATATAAATTTTATTTTAATCTTTAAGATTTTTAGCATTGAATCTATTATATTTTTAAGCTTATGAGTTCAGACATATCGATCCGTTATTGCAATTTTAATAAATCTTTACAAATAAATTTATGTTCCGCGCCGAAAATTACGGGTTCATCTACTTCTCTACTCTACATTTTCCCCTGGTTGCGACTACCATCTTTACATCATTTTCTAGTGTTTTAAGTTATAGAAAATATTTTCTTAAAGTGGGAATAATGACTTCCTTCACTTGTTTGGGAAGATCGGAAGTCATCTTCCTTACAATTATCTTAACATTTTTAACCTCATACCACTTATTCCGACTAAGTAACACTTAACATTATTATTAATCTTTAGTATAAAACATTTCATCAAACTCTCTTCTATTTGATACTATTATTAATTTTTAATATATATTTTTCCGTAAAAATTTCCTCTTATTAGCCATCCAAGAAAATATTCTATATGAAACTTTCGTCGTACCAAGCACCCTAAGTTGTTTGCACATTAAGTGTGATATTATTGGTTAAACATATTGTTTTAAAATTCACTTGCCGTGGGTAAAATTTGTCTTTCAGTAGTATAATTATTTTTTAATTATGTCTACAAATAGGTTTGAGTAATACAGATATGATTGGAGATGTGTGGAGCAGAAGCTTTTATCTTCGCAAGAGTAATAGTAATGGAAATAATTCAAGAAATGCAGAAATAGCAACGGACATTACTTCAATGGAGGCAAATTCTAATCCAATTATTGTTGTGATCAATAAAATCATTAGAACAAGCAAGCTTTGGAAATTCCTTGGTTGCATACGGTGTTTTGGATAATCAGTTAAGTCGGAGGCGAATATAGTGCGGATTCAGCGGGTTCAACTGAATTCACTGTGTACTTTCAACTGGAATATCTATACTTATGCAAAAAAAAAAAAATGTAAATATATCAAAATTCACATTTATTATGATAACTGATCATGTCATACGATTAAAATTATTGTTAGAGTAACATGAGTATTAGATTTGTTACTCTACATATTATTGCTTCATGTATAGTGACTTCTCTTTCTATTGAACAATGGCAAGACTGCAAGTTGAAAAAGAGAAGTGATGAGTAGACTCGCAGAGGCCATATTTGTTGATATATTGCTAAATGTGATACGACTCGGAGAGAACCATACCTCAAAAGCTACTATTGAGGCGGGAGCAAGACTACATAAATCCCACATTAGCACTTTGCAACACTGACGTGAAACTCAAGTTACGAACCTTGCAATGGACCATAACAAACTATCACGCTTCACAATTCACATCAGTCGTCCTCGACGATTGTGCGGTAGACCTTTCTAACCCGGACAAACACTACAATACCACCATCCATTGCATGGTGGTCTTTATAACACCCCTATTATAAAATATAAAGAAGCAAATCATGTAGCAGATGTCCTAGCAAATTATTAATAAAATACTGTTATTTACTAATTAAAAATCCAGGCAACTATGTGATTAAAAAAGTTGACTTTTAATTTTGTTAACAATTTAATTAAAAATTTACTTTAGTATAATAAATTTTGTTAATTCTTCAATTATTTAGTCTAACTAATCCGAATTATTAAGACTCCAATCTGATCAACAAAGCTTATTGACAGCTATCTTCTAGGAACGATTCCGGCTCCGGTTCAGAATTAAGAGGGGGCGCAATACGCACCTGGCGTTCCGATCACGATCTCCATTTATAATCCACTCTTATCGTGCGCCAGTAGGTAGAAAATGGGAGATGTATGGACATGGCTACTTTTCTTCTTCATTGTCATAGCTATACTTATTATGGTTATTTTTCAGGTCAATTTACTTAAACCCTTACATTTTTTAACCTTTTTGGAGGAAATTTTACTTTTTGACTTTATGCTGCATCCTATATTGTAATTGTTGATATGTTTCTGGAATTTAAGCTATATGCACGGCAGGGTAAAAAATATTTATACATAAAAATGGTAATCTAGTCATTTATTCGCGTAATTCCTTTTCCAATACACTGTAACTATTACTCATTATGTTTATTTTATGCATATCAGTTTGATTAGGTACGAAGTTTAAGAATACGATAAAGGCTTTCGAACTGATGGCCTTAAATTAAAGGTGTGTATAACATGCAAAAAATACCTATTAAGGGTAAAAATGAAAATGTTGAAACAAATATCTTACTAGATATAGAAAAAAATATTAAAAAGAAAAGCATGTCACATAAATTAAAACAAAGGGAGTAATAAAAGCTGACATGAAGTTTTCGAGTTTCTGAATTTTCTAGTTAAAATTTAGAAGTTCTCATAAGTAACTAAGAGATAAAGGCGGGCATTATCTCGTTAGTTTGGATTAAGACTTTGTTGTTATTATCAGTAGGGGCGGATTTAGGGGGGGGGCGGAAGGGAGTTCACCCGACCCCCCTTGGCCGAAAAATTACACTGTATATATAAGGCAAAATCTGTATTTTACTTCTATATATTAAGTTTTGAACACCCTTGACATAACCCAAAAGTGTAGCTTAGTGGGGTTCAAAATTTTTGAAAGGTCATAGGTTCAATTCCCACTAGCTATGATTGTTTTTTTTGAACCCCCTTCGGGGGAGATCCTGCCTCCGCCACTTGGAACCAGGATTTGAAGTGTATGGATTCTGGACTTGCCACCCATTTGGTAGTTCGTCTTTTTATTAGATTTTCTAATACAAATACAAGGTCTAAGCAAAAGATACTGGGTTCATCCGAACCTGTACTTCATGCTCTACGTCCGCCCCTGGCTTCATCAATAGCATGTAAGCATAATCTGCATTTCTGTATTTGAACTTTTATCACATTCCAGCGTGAACTCCGATTCCTCAGATGCTCTGCAATCATATTCTTGTTCCCAAAACTATTCAACTATTACTTAACTAATACTGCTGCGATGTCAGGCATATTTCTGTTTACTTTTTATTTTAATTTTTTATGAAGACAATTTTCTGTTAATTACTTGAAATCTGACAATATGAAATTCATTGCAGCTCATTTGCTTAAGTGATCTAGAGTTTGACTATATCAATCCATACGATACTGCATCTCGTGTAAACAAAGTTGTTTTACCTGAGTTCATCACTCAAGGAGTTTTGTGCTTCCTCTACCTGATTACAGGACATTGGGTTATGTCGCTTTTATGCGTTCCATATCTATACTACAATGTCAAGTTGTAAGTTGTTCTCTTTTCCTTTAGTGCAGTAGTAAAGTTAAATTTCTTAATGCATTTATGTTAAAAAGAAAAATGCTGAGACGGCATGGTTCATTGCATATAAATTACCATGTTGATCTTAAATTTCTTTTAGGCTTCAAATATGTTGGAGATGGATTAAGTCATGTTCCTCCATTTATGCACATTCTTTGTTACTGTATGCAGTATTACTCCCTCCGTTTTATGTTATGTGGCACTATTTCCGTATTAATCCATTCCGAGAAGAATGACAAATTTCTTTATTTGGAAACACTATACCTTTAAACTTCCCATTTTACCGTCAATAGCTTGCTTTTATAGCCACGGAAATCTCGTGGTATGTTTAAGATTGCAAATTCCAAAAGTCTTTCGTTCTTTGTTAAACTCCGTAACCAGTCAAACTACGCTACATAAACTGAGACAGATATTGTTGATGGTTTTTGTGTAACTTCATTTGTCTATTATTCCTTGGAATGGAGGTCGGATGAAGATGCTTCTTTGCTGGTTTTGCTTACACTAAAATGGTTTTTAGGCTTTATTAGGAGCTAGTATTGAAGTTTGCGTTCAACAGACTCTTCTGCTTCTTGTTAGGTTTGCAGTCTACTTGTCTTGTGGTGTCTCCAGATGGATATGTTACTATAGTTCTTTGAGATAAAGTTTTTAGTCTTAGAGTGCGCCAATTCCAGGTAATCTGGGCCATAATATGTTGAGCTTGTCCTATCTCAAGTTTCATCTGCATTGCGTGCATTAGGGCAGGCTGCAAATGTAGCATACCTTTGCAGTTCGAGGTTTCAATTCGTCAACCTATCTACTGCATTAAAGCTTTAACTAATGCAGGGACGGGTCTTGAACTCCGAAAGTCTAAGTTCTCTTGATATACTATTAAAATTCAGGTCTTAACTCCTTACTCAAGCCTTGTGTCCACTAATGATGCTGAAGAAGAGAGCACTTAGTTGAGAAAACTTGGGCTCTAGAGAAATAAACTAAGTTTACACTGGGTTTTGTTACCTTCGACGAAAGTTTATAGGGGAATGGTGTCTGTGGTGGCTTTGAGATGAACAGATCCTTACAGTTTTCGCGCTGATGGACTGCTTGAGCTAGGTTGGTTAAATTCTGTTCATCTCATGCAAAGGTGATGCTACTTCCTGCTATTGATGAAAGTATCATCAGTATTCTGTGTACTAAGTAAACCAAAAAGTTTGTACTATTGCTTAAAGTTCTTGGTCTACAGAAGTCGACTAGGCATCTGTCCGTAATGACAAAAGGGAATCTATGCAGCATTCTGCCATTTGCATGTAGGCGCAGGGGCAAAGTTATGTGTGGCCAAGGGTGGTCAACTGAACATATTTCGCTGAAAAATTATACGGTTATAGAACAAAAAATAGACTTTGAACACCGTTGCGTAGCCTGCCAGCATTTTGAACACCCTTATTGAATTTCCTGGCTTCCTCACTGGCTAGGGGATATGCCTTCTATTGAAATATTGACCTGCGGGTATTGTTCACCGGCTTGTGTATTGATTAATATAGTACTCCAACAAAAAGCTGGTATTTATTTGTAAGACTATAGTAAATACACCCAACCATTAGGTGGTTAATCGTTCTAGATTAATTTTTCTATGACTTGCGATCATATATTATTTGCTGGAAACTGATACAACTTGTGTTTTATGGGATACATTTGATTATTACATAAATGTCATGTGTAATCTTCTTGTTGTAGGTACATGCAAAGACGGCACCTTGTAGATGTTACTGAGATTTTTAATATGCTTAATTGGGAAAAGAAACAGAGGCTTTTCAAACTTGGCAACATGGTAATTCTGCTCCTCATATCATTATTTTGGTAAGTTACTGTGTGGGAAGCTCTTTGATTGTCAAAGCACCTCTATTGTCAAAGCACCTCTAGTCTATGTTGTGCGGACTCCCCAATAATGTTGCCACACCCGTGTCTTATCCTCTAAAAATACACTACTTTTGGAGGATCCGACATGCAGCCGGCGACATTTTTGGAGAGTTCGAGCAACAGAGCTTCCAATATGACACTACTGACTAACTCCATATGTTCATTTTGTAGGGTGATTTATAGTGCCTTAGAGGATCATGATGATTTTTAGCTCTATTTCCACAAAGTATAATCGCCACCAACAGTGGCGAAGCCAGAAAATTCAATAAGGGTGTTCAAATTTTGAACACCCTTTACCAGTGGGTTATGCAGGGGTGTTCAAAGTCTATTTTTAATCAATAACAAGTAATATTTTACCTTATACGTAGTATAATTTTTCGGGAACTCTGGCAAATCTGATTTATATTCTTTTGGTGTAACTTGGCCATTCCTAGTTCATTTTTCTTGCAAGTTTAGAGTTAACTAATGGTAGATTAGGCAGCAGATCATCTTCTTATATCATTTGAGCTTCCTCTAACCTTGTTGCATTTTCAGCTTTTGAGCAATCATAGATTTTGCTGTGGGCTCCGAGTTCTCGGTCACAGAGATCAATGCAAGAAACAAAATGTTGGCTTAAAACTTGGTGTAGTTTGTCAGCCTGTTATATTGTTTTGTGTTTGATCTCCAGTAAACATGAAATTGCTGAGATTGAGAATGCAATTCATAGGATGAAGGATTTTAAGTTCCTTTTTCCTCTTTTTTTCTTTTTCTTGGCATCACACCTTTGGTGTGCGGCCCTCAGAGGCGTATCCAAGTTGAGACATATGGGTTCACGTAAACTCATACTTAAGGTTCATGTTATTTTCTTCAAAATTACTTAAATTTATGTGTGTTAACCCATGCTCAAAGACTATTATGGTGCAGTTATTATTGGGTGTACCTCTACAAGTGAAATTGGCAATTCAAATCACTCTGAACGGTCTTGTTTTCGGCAGAGTATAGAAATATACGTGAAAATTACTAAAATTTCAAAAAGAATATAATTTTGGACATATAATTTTAAAAGTGAAGTGGATCATGGTAAGAGACTAAAGTTAAATCAGTCAAATATGAATTCTTCACAATAGTGCACCCATCCTCTTGAAATCGTGAATCCGCCTCTGGCGGCCCTTCCCCGGACCTTGTGTGAATGCGAGATGTTTTGTACATCACGCTGCCCCTTTTTTTTTACATTGAATTGGAAAAAGACATGAGAATGCAATTCATTAATTTATCTTGATTTCAACTTTTGTCCCCTTTACCTTATGCTTAGAATTTACAGCATAATGCTGATTATTGCTGCTAAATATTAGTTGGATTTACTATATGATAGCATCCTACTTGTAGGGTGGCTTAGTTCATGGACTAGCTATGCTGGAATTATGCGAGGATTGTCTAATTTTAAGCATGTCTGCCTGAGATAATCTTATTTTTTTATTACCAATAAAGCATTCTTATTTCGTATTCCATTTTCCATAAGTTAATATTTCGATTTCTGCATTATTTAGGCGAGTCTCAGCAAAATGGAAATTAGTACTGTCAATTAAACATTGCCAAATAAACATTGTATTACTTGCACAAAATTCTTCCTCCAATATGCACAAGGAGAAACCTCACATCACATTAAGTGTGGGTTAGACACATGTCACGAGTTCGAAACTATCATAGAAAAAACCTAATATTTAAGTCGAAAAAGGTAGGAGGGTCCACTATCCATAGAGTTCCGAACCATGTGTCACTCAAGGTTAGCTTTAAACGAACAGCACAGATAAGCATCAACCACTGATCAAGAAGACAATCGAAGCGAAATTGCTTCAAAACTAAATTCCAGACTATCAAACTCCTACAAATGATCACATGAACACCACTATAGAATTGATATGACAAAGTTTGGCTTCACCTCTACAAAGCATTCAAGAAGTCTATTTGCACCCTGCAACAAAAATTAGTGAGGTTGAACTACTATATCTAGGTATTAGACTCTATGTCATGGTTCATCTTCATGAGCTTTTTCAGCAGCTTCTATCTCTGAATCAAGCTTGTCGATTAGCTGCTCACTTACATGTTTTGCCACAGATATCATGTCAAGTATGACACTAGGGTCTAATCCGGTGCCTCCTCGTTTGGTCAACCCACATACTAGCCCTTGTCTATTAACAGAAATAGAAACAGCCGAGTTCATTAGGGACTCCTCCTCTGAAGTTGCATCAACAATGTAGTGCCTTCCAACCTACAATTATTGACGGGAAAAGGTCAATGTCGTATGTAAATTGGCAGTTGCGCAAGAAAGCTCAAAACAAAAGGCTGGCTTCAATTACCTTTATCAAAGTAACTATGACTGGTATTCCGCTGGTATCAAATTGCAGAAATTCTTCATCACTAACATCCACATCTGCCTGCTCATCGGATGAAGCAGCTTCACGAACCTGAACTCTCGGAATACCCGTATTGCTCAGTGCAGCCTGAAGAACATCAGTCATAGAGATAATAAGACATTATTAAGAGATGCATCCATCGCCAAATTGCATCACTGCTCAAAATGTTGAATGTCTCATTTAATATATTTTCTTTCTACAGTCCCATCTTTCCTTGCAAAAACTTCTTGAATAATCAGAATCAGAGGCGGAGCCAAAATTTTAACTATATGGGTTTTGGCTTTTAGAACGATGGCTTCAAGTGTTAATAACTAGGTTTTAAATTTAATATGCGTACACATTTAATGAATTTCTTAAAAGAAATATTGTGTTTAAACAAAAGCTACTGAGTTCGGCCGAACCCGTATCTAGGCTCCTACCTCCGCCCTAGTTAGGATAAGGGGAATAGTGCTTTCATGTAGCATTCTCAAGTATCACAACATCTCTAAAAACAGAAAGCAAGTAATTTTCGCCCTTTCTTTCCTTGTTAATACACGATGACAAATTATTAGTATACCTTGATTGCAGCACCTAGTGCGTCGAGAAGATTCCCGCCAGAACTAATGACAAGGCAATCAATATACAGATCCCAACATACTTTTCCTTCTTTGATTGAGAGAGATGACGGATCTATTCCAGCCCCTGCGAAATGAAATACACCACAAGATTATCAAGTTGAGAGGCACATAAGGGTAACCTTTAAATCTAAAGTTGGTCAACAGCTCTTGACATTATATTTTTTTCATACAAAAGTCGGGTTTTCCTTTCTTTTTTAAAGTGAATACCTGCTCCACTTTTACCACCCAAAAGACACCCCTCAAGTGCAGCTGTGAGTTCTGCGGACAATTCCTCGCCTCCTCTGCCCTGCATGAATCAACATTCAACACAAAGGAAAAACTGATAACTAAGATTGGTGCTTGAACCAAATTTTCTACAATAACTATGAAAAAGATAAAAATACTTGCAAGTAAACTGAATCCAAGAACAGAACCTCAAACGATGGCTCTGCTGTGGGACTGCAATCGACGTGAATATAAATTTTCCCTTGGTCAGGATGCGCTTGACTTGGTTTTCCAAGTTCCGCCTGAAATAAGAATTTAATAGGACAAATGAAACAACTTACATGACAAAATTACTCATCCGATGATTATCAAGGAAAAATCAAGATAGCATAGAACATGTGTTCAATGTCTGGATTGTAATAATACCTTGACACCGGCAATAACATCAGTTGGACCCAACTTGATTCGTGCAGATCCATTTGCCTTGTAAGAACAATAAAGTTCACTATTGAGCTTCAGTTGTTGTAAAAGAAACATTCAACGACGGAAAGCTTATATAAAAGAAAAGGATTCTACCTGAGGAATAACACCTGTTTCCACATAAATTGGTCGATAAGCAAGTCGTTTTCTACCATCATTGCGCATATCCTGGGCAATACCACCTTTGATAAAGTTTTTTTCTCCAATAGATAGCCCTACCATCTCTGCAGGTGAATGAAAAATTATACACAGTTACTCCTTATACCACTTCATAATATTGGCAGAAGGATTAGAGTAAATGATATATAGGGATGGAAATTGAGGCGGAGCAAGGGTCGGGCCAGGCCATGACCCACTCAAATTTTGACCCGTCCTGCCCTACCCCGTTTAGCTTTTTTCAAAATTTTGTGCTGTCCTGCCATGCCCCGCCTTGTCCCGTTTCGACTCTCTTTCATTTTTCTCTTTATTTTTTATTTTGTAGTATGATATTTAATTTTTTTTTAACTTTTTCAACTGTCTATTGAAACATTTAAAATTGGCATGTCAATAAGTGTTGTTTATGTATATCAATTGAATAAAATATGTTTTTTATCAATGTTTTATAGTTTATTAAAGAGTAAATCCCCTTAAATTAATGTTTCAGCCTAAGTAAATGGCTAACTGCTTAAGTCACTTTTGGAACTGTTTGTCACCTTCCGTCATCATAATCCTTTTTAAGTTAGTGAACTAATTTGACTGTAAAATTGCACGATGAAGCATCACTTTCATTCATTTCATTTGTTATTTTAACATACAACATCAATTTATTAAATTCAATACAATAATAACTAGATGTAGGTTTTCAAGTTTTGAAAGTTAAAACTAGTTCGCCACCAGCCAATAGTCCATACTCTGAGGTTATATGATTAAGGTAATAGGATACCATAAACTAAAAATGACCAACTTGACCTGTAAATAACTATCCTAAGCCGAGGGTCTACCGAAAATAGCCTCTCTGCCTTCTTCAAGGTAGGGGTAAGGTCTGCATACACACTACACTCCCCAGACCCCACTTGTCGTATTACAACCTTGTGGTATTACAACGGGTTTATTGTTGTTTTTGTTGACCTGTAATTAACTAAAAGGCAACCGGTGCACTAAGCTCCCGCTATGCGCGGGGCCTTGGGAAGGACCGGACCACAAGGGTCTATTGTACGCAGCCTTACTCTACATTTCTGTAAATGGCTGTTTTCACGGCTCGAACCCGTGATCTCCTAGTCACATGATAACAACTTTACTAGTTACGCCAATGCTCCCTTCTTGACCTGTAATTAACTATTCGGCCTAAAACCAGCTGTACACTATTAAGCAATTTCAGCAGCTCCAATGTTCCAATTCTTACCCAAATCTGCTTTAAAGGAACTCAGTTTTTCTTTAGCCACAAATTCCCAGCAATGATTAGAACAAAACTCAGCAATTAACTGGTTCAAACACTCACAAAATTGTCAAATTCAGTTCATTTTTTAACCAAAACTGGTTTAAATACCAGCTAACGAAGAAGAATAATCATTTTTTTACACTATCAAACAGCAGGTATTCAAAAACGTTTTGCCTCTGTATTTTTTTATTCCCAGAAATAAGATGAAGCTAAAAAATGCCAGAAGCAAGAAAGAAGTTCAGAAACATACCGAGAGAGAAAAAAAAAAGAATCAGAAAGGTGAAAACTTTCTAGTAAAACAAGAATAAAGTTTTTACAAGAAGGAAAAGTTGAAAGTAAGAGATCATTACCTTGTAACTTATTAGAGTTGTTGGAGATTGAATATTTGAAGAACTGAAGAAGAAGGGTTTCTCGGTTTGAGGGTTTCGCCCGTTGGAAGAGCTGAACTGCGAAGAGGCTTTACCGGCGGTGAACGGCGGCCGGCAGCAGGATTAACTAGCGGTTAAACCCTAACTCTCTCCCAACTTAAACCCTTTTCTAACAATAGGTCGCCTCTTGAACTAGTGACTAAATACAATATTTTTATGCTTGTATCCTCTTATTCAGAATATTTTAATCATTTAAATTTATCAGAATAGTAAGTTTATGCAAATTTCTTTATACTATACATGCATTGATTTTATTTTTATATATATATTGCATCTACGTAACCATAATTTTTAAGTTTATTGCCACATAACTCATTATTCCTTTATAACAATATTTATATATCCATTATATAATATTATATACTTACTATAATATTGTATATAAAAATTAGGTATTGTCTCCTACGAAATTCATAAAAAAATGATTAAATAGCTCAATTTTTCATCAAATAACTTCAAATTTTAATTATAACTTCCAAATGACATATGCAAGGAACACCAATTATTAATTTGTCAAACCATTTATGAATTTTCAAGCTTTAAAAAACTTTGAAAATGGAGTTTTAAATTTTAACTTTAATTTACTCAATAATATGTAAAATGTGATGATAACCATGAATATCACTTACAAATCAGTTTCAGACACATGTCTTCCTAATACCATATTAATTGGTGAAAAAATATATATTATATGCAAAATAGGCTAAATTAGACAAGAAAAAATATAGATTAGAATTGGTTGAGAAAGTATCCCACACGTACTTCCCCGAAATTACTTTTTTTAAAATCGAATACCGATCACTTATTAATTATTCCCAGGATTATTTTTTTTATACGGCGGAATATCCTGGCCAAATCATAGGTCGCCTATGTGTTATTCAGAAATTGTCTATTATTTATTTATAATCGTCCAAATGATCTCCGGTTGATCACTTACTAGTTATTACAAGGATCATCTTTTTATAAAGTTGGAGATCCTGGTAAAACCATAGATTGCCTATGAGTTATCTAGAGATCGCTCATGTATTATATATGATCACCTAAGAATCTCCGATTGATCGCTTATTAGCTATTAGTAGGATTATCTTTTTATCAAGTTGAAAGATCCTCGTGAAATCATAGATCACATATGTGCTATCTAATTGATCATATATTATTTATAATCGCCTAAGTAATCTTCAGGATCACTTATTAGTTGTTATTAAGCTTTTTTTTTTTATGTCAAGTGAGAAATTATGATTGAACCATATAACGCTTACGTGTTATTCGAAAATCTCTCATGTATTATTTATGATTACCTAAGTGATCGCTGATTGATCGATTATTTGTTATTATAATAATTACTATTTTTATAAAGTGGGAGATCCTAGTGAAGTAATTGATCATTTATATTTAATCTAGAAATTATTCATGTATAATTTATGGTCGTCAAAGTGATCTTCAGTTGATCGCTTATTAGTTATTATCAATTTTTTTCTTTTTCTATAAAATGGAAGACCCTGCCGAAATCATAAATCACCTATGAATTATTTAGAAGTCGTTCATGTATTATTTATGGTCGCCTAAGTGATCTATGGTTGATTATTTTATTACCAGTATTATATTTTTATAAAGAAAAAAATCCTAGTGAAATCATAGATTGTCTACGTATTACATAGAAATCACCAGTGTATTATTCATTATCACCTAAGTGATTGAAATGCATATATTATACAAAAAATAAATAATACGGGATTGCTATGTGAAGAATAAATAATACTAGAAATTATTATGTGGAGAACAAATTATTCATGAATGAGACTATTGCCAATTTGACTTATCTATACTATATTAAAAGTACGAAACCCCTTAGCGAAATATCGTTCCCTTTTTTACCCTTTAAAAATAGATTTCACATTGGATAAAATAATTATTTAATTAATTCCCTAATATTTAGAACTTTAAAATTGACTAAAATTTTGATTATTAAATCTTTCCTTATTTGAGGTAGGTAAGAAGTTCTAAATTTTAGGGCTTTAAATCAATTGATATTTTACCATACATAAATTATTTCCTTGCTTAAACTCTATAAAATACTTATAAATCTTTCATATTACTTTTAGTGGATGCAGATTCTATTGGGGTTTTGGGGGGGGGGGGGGGTAAACTAATGTGTGTGTTTTAACGATATTAAAGTAATTAATAAATCATACAAACTTTTATGCCTAATATTTAAAAGGTCACTTATTTAGGACTTTAAATAAGTAATATAATTTTTCCATGTTTAGTTCTTGTAGAAGTTGAAAAATATCAACCACGAAAGATGAGTAAAAGTACTATTTTTGCAAATTTTGTTCTTGTAAAAGTTATAAAAATATCAACCACGAGATCTTGAAATATATAACAAGAAAACTTTATCATGGATAAAAGGTGCAAATCTATGTGTAAAATAGTGGTTAATACTTTAGAAGTTATCCCTTTATTGCACCTAATTTTTTTGTTAAATCTTTATACTGGACTTTAAAACTGATTAATTTTTTTTTATCTTACAGAAATTATTTTTTTATTTGAATACTGTAATATATTCTTTTCATGTTATTATATGTGAACTATAATAGTTCATATTATATTTGAACTACTTTTCACTACAAAAAATATTTTTCTATTTAGTAAATTTTTATGTATAATATCTTTATAATTACACTCAATAATTAAAACAAATGACATATAATATTTTGAAAATATAAAAGATAAACAGGGGGGAGCGAGAGAGACTAGAAAAATAGTATTTGGTAACACTCATGATTCTGCAAACACAAATATCTAAAAATAAAAAATAACAAAATAATCCTTATTGAGATGATGAGCCAATATCAAGAATTTGAATCAATAAAAAATAAATTATTTTCTTATTGAGAACAAAAATTTAAGTTTTTGAATTAACTAATTAACAAAATAATGCCAGACAATTCTTTTCTAAATAGAAAAATATCAAGTTGAAAAAACTCTTAGAGCACATAAAGTTGGCTTTAAAAAAAGAGCATTTTGTGGTTAAAACAATCAAAAAAAATAAAAGAAAAACGATGATGTAGTATTAAGAGCCAAATTAAAATAATACAGACCTGAAGCAATAAGGATAAAATAATAGAATATAATTTATTTATTCTCTCCTTTTTCATTTGTTACAATAGATGACAACTCCATATATCTTTTATATTGTCATTAGAGAATTTTTTTATTTTTATTTTTGTGAACGCTCACCATATCTCGCTTCAATCATGATAAATATTATGAGAATTCTTTTATTTTAAATATTTTTATCGTCTTTGTAAGTTTAGAATATATTGGATGCAGTTAATATGTCAAGGTATAACATTAATTTTTTTAGCATTTAAGAAATTGTTGCACTTATTTTAGCGTCAACTGCTATTTTCAATAATTTATGTTTCTTATATATTCTATATGCGTCAAATTATCTGTTGTGTTACTCTTTTACCCATTCCTTAAGAAACATTAATTAGGAGGGGGGTTGGAGTATTTTACCTTTATTTATGACTTAAAATATAGTCTCTCTTCATGGAATATTTATTTTATTTATGTGTTATCTCCATTGTCAAGAATAATTATTATTAAGGGTAAAATGAAAAAAATATAATTTATTTTATCTTGAAATTCTAAAATGACAAATAATTTGAGACAACTATTCTTAGAAAGCACGACAGATAATTTGAAACAGAGATAGTATATTTTTTATTGATTAGCGCGAGCCACACATGCAATACACATACACAAAAACTAGTATCAACAATGATGGAAATCCAATCTATGTGGTGGTTGGAGATCCCATGAAGTAGGTTTATATAGGGAATAACAAGTCATTAGTTGATAAAATGTGCACTATTAAATCATGTCCCTTTCTATGGGGTGTGTGTATAGTGCAAAATGCAAGGAATGAGAGGCTGAGTTATTAAACTCTTAATCCAATAATCCATAGCCTTTTATAGGTGGTGTATTGCGCTGCAGAATACACTTAACGGAGGACCTATATGAGTGTGGAATGGGGTTGCTCCTATGAAATTTATGACAAAAAATTTCTAGAGCACTCGTAAAAATCAGGCGCGTGCATGGCCTATTAGCACAAAATCGCGTCAAACAACAAAGTGTGTGCAAGTATAATGTGATAGACAAGATACTAAACTTACAAAAGAATTCTTGGTTCATAGAATTCTAAACTTCACCAATTGTTATGTAAGTTTAATTTTATCTTATCTAGATCTGGTTCATAGTCCAAGAGACACCAGATTCGACGCATTATGCTCATTTGTGAAAACCCAGAGAAACTTTTTATTTCACTCTATTACTTAATATTCTTTTTGAGTTATCTGGGGATTGTTAGAAAAATAATTTTGATAGCTCAAAAAGAAATATTCAAATTGATGTCTAGGTTTATTTTTTAATATTATATTAATCAATCGTTATTATATTAATCAATTGGAATACAATTTGAATATATTTTCAAATATAATAATAATTTTGTAACTGAAATTTGATATTATTCTTGAATAGCCTTAATGACCAATCGTTTCTTTCAAAACCTTATGTGAGGTAACAATCTGATGTCCTTTTTTGGACTACATATATAGTATAATTCTTTGTGCTGAGTTTTTTTTATTTCAATTTTTGTTGTTTCTATTCCTAGTTATACTAAAAGAGCTTGTTGAATCGTGAAAATACACCTAATTTTATTCATCATGATGTGGGCGAAATATCTTGAAGGACAGTGTCCTCGACACGCCTCAAGTTAATTCTTATTCTCCATAACCAATATTTTTTTCCAACAAAATCGTTTATTAGTTATTACCCGAATTATATTTTTATAAAGCATGAGATCCGTGAAATCATAGATTGTCTACGTGTTACATAGAAATCACTAGTGTATTATTTATTATCACTTAAGTAATCGAAATGCATATATTATACGAAGAATAAATAATACGGGATTGCTATGTGAAAAATAAATATACTACTAGAATTATTATGTGGAGAACAAATTATTCATGGATAGTTATATGCTCTTATCCAGGCATTACTAATATACATGATATTTATCCCATATTCTATACCGTATATCTTACTCCGTACTATATAGATTTTTGTACAACTTATATTTACCTCTAATTTTCGCTATTAAATTCGGCATAAATTATACGAAATTTAATACCGAAAATGAGTTTTGGACGCCAGATGGTTAAGAGAAAAAAAAGAACACTTCCCATGCAGGAAACTATAACAGTTCAGAAACATTCCATAAAGAGAAGATGATCAATTGTACCTGTTAAAACCTATGTTGCTCGGGCTCTCCGAAAATGTTGTCAGGCGCGTATCGCATCCTTCAAAAGTATTGTATTTTTGGAGGATCCGACATGGGTGCGACATCATTTTGTAAAGTCTGCGCAACATAGGCTAAAACTAAACATAAAGCCTTTAACTAAGATGAAATTCATTTCTGGGACCAATTATACATCTAAAATTCTACAACAAAAGACCAAAGAAAAGAACTAAGTGGAACACTAGTTCAAATTACTACACAAACCTCGTCGGAAAATGACATGCTCCGGTAAGAGGTTGACAGACAAATTAACAACAAATGGATGTGAGAATTAAGGATCAATATGAACTGTGAAAGGTATACCCTATGCAGGCAGAGTTACATTGATATCAGCTGGCTTATTTCTCGAGTCGGGGGCTAACGACGACGACCAGTTAATTGAGGAAGTTGGCATAATTTGTTTTGCAGAAGAGTGATTATAAGTGTCTTCATTTTCTGCACTAGATAGAGGAACAGCAGCTATTATAGGCTCCAATTTGTTTTTCTTGGTCGTCTGCTCGTGTTGATTTCCAGCAAGGAAGCTGCCTACAACAATCTGATTCACAGAAACAAAGAAAGAAATATGCGAACTGTTACAACTTGAAGATCTGCGTAACACACTACCCTCCCCAAACCCCACTTGTGACATTCCACTGGGTTGTTGTTGTTGTTGTTTTAACTATGGTTTAAGATTATCTACTGTTATACTTCAAGTTAGAGTTATGTTAGGATCAATAGCAAATACGAGATGATTTGCTAATGGGGAGGGAATGAATGCCCTCAAAGTATTACCGATTGTAAAATTAAGATTATTCGCGTTGTGAGGAATATTCTTGACCCTTTTCCCTATTTGTTAAAAGAGATTAATTTTTATCTACAGACATTGTAAATAACCTTTTTTGCACAGTCAAGTTAGCTAAGAAACAAGTACAGTTTTGGGTGGATAACATAGAAAAGAGGATAGATAACATGCTCCAACTGGTCAAACTACACTAAGCAAGTAAGATCTATCAGTCTCAATTGATATAAATCAAATTATTACCACAATATACACAATGCAATACTTAGTAAATAACATACTGAGAATAGGGGAAACAATACCTGCACTGGACTGGCGGCAACTAGTAGACCGGCAACTCCACCTCCAACAACACGTCCATCAGGGCTTGCTAGAGAAACGCTCATTCCCCCGGATCTGTATCTCATTCCTCCCGTCTCAGATGGCATAAATGATCCAGTCAATGACAGTATCTCAAACCGTCCCTACACGAACAATGGAAGAGGACGGTTATGCACAAATTTCAACCAGAGTAAACATGTGCAGAGACAATGCCTTTCATCAATTTGAATGTTTTCCAAACAAGGAAGAAAGGTTTAATCCCAGTATTGCAATCCTTGCATGATAATCCCAATATAATTTTGTCCTCGAACCAAACAACCACTCAAAGTCAAGTAGATAGAGGCTCCTACATAATCATAGTCAACACATGATGTTTCCCTCTTAATAGACTAGCACACTTACTACTATTTAGAGATAGACTTAACCCATACAAGAAAAGGATGATAAAACTTACTCCCCCTCGAAATTTAATGGCCTAATTCGACTAGGCACCATTATGAAAATGGCCTAAAATGGCGAAGTACACTCATTCTATGGTTTCAAGTGCCAGTTCATGTAATCTACAATTCTAATCAGATTATAAGTATCAGAAAAATGCCTGATGGATCAATCACCATTCATATATTGGACCAGAATTTGGTATACTAATAATTTCAGTATTACTTTCAGCATTTCGAGTACCTAAACAACTCCCTAATTTCTGGCATGGACTGACAAGTTGCTTCTAATTCTTTCTAAACAAATGAACTTGAGGCAATGCAAGAAACACTGCAAAAGTAGCCTTCAACAAGTTGGAAACAACATGCTCGAATGTGCTATAAAAGTGAAAAGGTCCAAGTTTGCCCCTAAACTATACGAAATGGTCCAACTTTGCCCTGCGTTAATAGTTGGGGTCAAATATACCCCTGCCTTTACCAAATCAGACCAAATTTGCCCTTATTGTCTAACGGTCAATGTATATTGTCTAATGACATTTTGTTGGGTGTTGTTAAATATAAATGAAGTCTAAATATATGGCAGTAATTATTTAAGACAAACAAGTAATGTAAACTGATATTAGATTACACATTAAGCACAGAGGTAAGCATGACACTCAACAGTATGAATCAGTAGATTAACGATCATAAAAGAGAATAACTAGTTGCAGCACCTCATACGTCAATGTGCCACCGGAAGAGTCAGGTTGACGTAGCGTAACACTTGAAATTACACCGTTTGCTGAGAGGATGCATATTGCTCGAGGTCCTTGTTGAGAGAACGATATAATCTTCATAGTGACATCCTAAAGGAAAACCAAAAGAACAATCAGCAACCTTTCGTGAAGTTCAAAATATAATAGTCACTAAAACATGCTTATATATATGGTAGCCACGAGAAATCCTGCTTATGGAAAGAATTTACAAAATATGATGTATGATAATCAAGACACATTACGCCACCAAACTATGAAAATTCCCATAAAAATCACAAATGTACCAGCTTTGGCTAATAATTTACCTCTCCAGTATTAACGGTGATAATATGGGGTGTAAAATTAGCACCAACAGAACATGAGACCCATTCACCTACAGAAAGAAACTCAAACATTAATGCTTTCACACGAATCTTTACAGACCAATATCCATCCGAAAACATATGTCATGTTCGGGGGTGAGGGAACTCGAACTAAAGAAAAAACATTCAGCTGCAAAGCATGAAAAATTATGGCCGTACCACCTTCAACCCGCCCCCCTCCCCAACAAAAGGAAAAAAAGGTCACTTGATAATATATGGCAAATGATTTGAAATACTTCTAGGTGTGTAGAAATTCATGTTTACCATGAAAGTTCATTAATTCAGAAGAATTATATATATATATATATATAA